ATATATATATATATATATTCATACACACACACACACATATATATATATATATATATATATATATATATTGTATGTATAGCACCTAGTATGCTTTCCTTGTAAGGGTAACCCAGCTGAAGTTCTTCGGCTCTAAACGTTTAGGGTTTAGGGTTAGGGTTTAGGGTCTTTGGTTTAGGGTTTAGGGTTTAGGGTTTAGGGTGTAGGGTTTAGGGTTCAGGGTTTAGGGTTTAACTCAACTTCGAACCTAGGCATGGCGTCGTGATGCTTACAGCACGCTCCCGGGCCCTCTTGGCTGCGCGGGTCTCCCTCGACTCTGGAACCAAGGCTTGCAGATTTGGCCGGACAGAGGCAGGAATTCAGAAAGAAAGGATCGAGGTTTAGGGTTGAGGGTTTAGAGTTTAGGGTTTAGGGGTTCTGGCCAACGGTTCAAGGTTTAGGGTTTAGGGGGTGTGGGTTGCAGAAGGGATTTCAGACACTCCAGGACTTCACATAGATGCTAAATGGCAAGGTCCTTGCTGTGAGGACCCCCTGCTTTTGGACCCTTACTTACCGTAAGTCCCGATTGTCACAACCCCCTCCCCACAAGGTGATTCACTTCGAGGTGGAAGAGCCCGCGCCGTCACCCTGCAGCCGAAGTAGCGACCACGCTGGAGAGGCCTTTGCCTTTCGGCAGGCCCAGCATAAAGTGAAGAATGACGATGGGAAAGACGAGGAGGAGGTGGAAACGGACGAAGACGAGACAGACTCAGATGAAGATGCAACCTTCTTCTACCAGCCACCTCTCCGCGGGGAAGCCAGCAGGACAGCGAAGCTCAAGACGCTCCGCAGCGATGAGACCGTCCCTGCAGCCCCGATTGCAGACCACGTCACCCCATCGCCTTGCGTCTGCGCCCCAAGTGTGCGATGCAGCTGATGGCAGTGAGGGGCGCGCCACGGGTGTACAGAACCGTGGTGGCGCGCCTGCTTCACGGCAAAAAAAAGTCGCCACGCAAGGCCCTTCCATCCGAATGTTGGGGCTTCTGCAGTGAAGCCCCGAAGTCTGCTTTAAACTTTAAGATTTAATAAGGAGTTCACGTCCGAAGGATGTAAGAATTCCCTGTCAGTGTAGTGAAAGGCACTGATAGAACACCTGTGGTTGAACCCTCGTGCCGTGGCAGTGCACCCGAAAGCATCACCATTACGTCCGCAAGCTTCGTGTCCAGCAGAAACCAAGCACCATACACCCCGGTCTTGCCAGACATTTTTGCTGCTCGGTATTTATGTCCAAGCATCTGGAATGTGGGGCTCTTGCATTTCCCAAGACCTCCAAACTCGGACCGCCTTCAATCTGGAAGTTGTTCCAAGCCGGGTTTCAACCTACCTGTTCACATCGACCTACTGATTGAGAAAACTGCCCAGAAATGGTGTTTTAGTCAGAATCACTCCGAGTTGCCTGCCAATGTGCGGCGACAGCAAATCTCGAGAACATATCTTCGTTGGGGTGACTTCACTTCCGTCGCCACCAGTTGCAGAGAGCCCACCAAGGAATAGACACCACATAGCTGAGGGACAGGACCCCTGTGTCTGCAGTGGGCTCCCTGAAGATTGCGTGCGCGCCTTTTAACTCAGTTCTTAGTTCCCCTTCAGACTGTACAGCACTGTACAGCCCAGCGCGCGTGCGCGCGCGACAGCCGGCCCAACGCGCTAAGTCGTTACTCCAGGCTCCGGAAAAACAGACAAACACCAGATGGAGAGACCTTGAACCCATGACGAGGAGTGAGGGATTCGTGGTGATGGCTCTTGTGTTTTACCTGGGCCTACATCCTACTGCCTTGCCATAGGAACAGTCGAAGCCCAATATCAGAGGATGCTTGAGTCTAACAACCCCTTGCAAAGCTCTACAACAACCTCCCTACAGCACGCATGAAACCCTGTAAACACCCGTCGAGGCACCGGAAAGAAGATGGGAACCTTAGTAGCTGAGGTGGTTACGCTGGGTGAGTTCATCGCCCTCCTCCAGCCTGGAGCCCGGTTTCCAGGCTTAGGGTTTTTGTTTACGGTTTAGCTTTTAGGATTCAACGTTTAAGGTTTAAGGTTTGCGGTTTCGGGTTAGGGGTTTGTCGTGTAGGATTTCGGATTTAGGGTTCGGGGCTCAGACCTGTGTTGAGGGGTTTACAGGAGCATACAGGGGTTTACAAGGGGATTGCAGGGCTGTTGGAAGGTTTCGGGGTTTATGTTGTTAGGGTTGGGGGATGTTAGGATTTTAGGGCGGCTTAGGCCAGGCGGCTTTATTTTTGCCGCTCAAGGGCACGGTTGGTTTCAGTTCTTTGAAGCGACTGCTATGGAGTTCTCTAATAATTAGCTCGCCCTTGACCGAAATGAAGCTCATGACCTCGATCCTTGCAGGAAACTTTCTTGTGCTATGAGCTCAAGGTGCTTGGTGTGTAGACCCTGTAGCCAAAGCGGGATTTCCTTCTTTGAATTTGGACAACCAAGGTGTGTAACCAGAGTTCATCGCGTAAACTGACTGGACATTCAACCATTTCCACACTGTCGGCAGGACCTCGCCTTGAACCTTGAAGCCTCAACGCTACCCTACACTGAACCCTAGCCCCTACACCTCCCACCCTATAAAGACATATAGAGTAGATGGGAACGTCCTGAAGTCCCAAACCCTCACTTCAACCGTCAAACAAAAAAAGCATCAAACCCCAAGCCCTGAGCTATCAACCCTAAACTCTAAAGAAAGCCGCTGTGCTTTATGGAACTTTTTCAAGGAGCCCTCCCTTGTAGAACGGCTTTGGGAGCCCTAAACCCTAAACCCTTGTAGAACGGCTTTGGGAGCCCTTTTAGAATCCCGAGGTGCTCCCGTCCCGTGGGCCGCCCCTTCCGCAACACTCTGGAGCTAGAGAGATCCGCGGCCTCGCGCGTGAAGAAGGCGACCGGCAAGGTTCTTGTTGGGTGCCGCTTTCTGGGTTTAGGGGTTATATACCTTAACCCACCAGAACCTACTTTTTGTAGGGTCCCTATAAATGCCATATTAGGGCTTATATAAGAACCTACAAAACAGTAGGTTTTGGTAGNNTTGGTAGGGCTTTAGGCTTCCAGGTTTTGGGGTTTATCGGGTCAGGGGCTCCATAAGAGTTCTTTTGCGTGCTAAGTTGTTCTTCTGGTGCAAGCCCGAGGTGATCCGAAGAAAATTATGGCTATCGCGGGTCCAAGGAGGCTTTAGCTTTCACCATATCCAGTACGATTTTGGGCCTAAAGTTTGGGCTGTAGCGCATGTTAATGCTTCTACGTTCTTGTTTTTGGTTGCTGGCTCTCTTTCTCTGGGTTGTTGGCCCTGAAGGTTGTACGTTTTAGTGTTCAATGAAGGGTTTCAGGTGAAAGACAACCTAATATAGGGGCGTTAATAATGAGCATAGGGTTTTGGGATACATTATACTA